ATAAAATAATTTTTAAAAAATCAGCCCACAGGTTACCATAGATTATCTACTTCTGTCATTGACCTGACAAACTGGTGAGGTGACAGATTCAAGCCAAGGGTTTGGAAGTCTTAATGTTCTACACTTATTATTTGTGTACTTTGGATATGCTGTAACTCAATAAACTAGTTATGGAGTTTTACTCTTTGTTACAATTTCCCTTTAAGTAGGCATAATTTATTTCTTCTTATGAGTTGTATGTTGGCTGTGTAACCTAATTTTTATCACTATTAGAGTCCTGATTATTTTCCTTGTTGTTTTAAATAACAAAAGACATTCTAATTTAGTTCTTATTCAACCAAAATAAAGCAAATATCCTAATTTTAACATAGTGCTACCCTCTAAAGAGACTGGAAAAGTCAAGCATGGTTGTTTCATTTTAATGCTTGATCTCTTAAAACAAGCTGACAAAGAAGTGACATATTTCAGTTGAACTTATCAAATGTTTATTATTTTTTACTACCATTATTTGGGGGTAATTATGGCTCAATAATTCAGTAAACATGTTCTGATGTAAACAACTGTGAAAATTGCATTTTTGAATGCTCCAACTGTGCCCACAACATAATCAGAAGCAGTCATTTATTACTCAGACTAATAATTAGAAGTAATTAACTACTAGACACAATTAGAAATAGTAATTTATTTCTTAACATAATGTAAAGAGCTGCTTTTTCAATACGTGTTTGAATATTTAGCAACCAGTAATTACTTTTAGAGGAAAGAAAGCAACGTGACTGTTTAGTTAACAACCCCAGACGCCTGGCACGTGTGTCAGTCTGGCACATCAACATGAAGGCTTGACAAGTCACTGGGTAGAATCCTGCTGAAAAGGAGAGTTCTGTGACAAACTTGGAAAAAACTGGTGTGAGGATTTCATATTTATTCAATCATTGAATGCATATTTACTATCTGCTAGGTGTTATGTCATCTGCTCTAAGCACTGGTGACATAAAAGTGGATGGGATAGACACAGCTTCCCCACACACACACAAGAGGTCAAGGTAAATGTGGTATATAGCATGATAGGGAAGTATCGGATGCTAAGGGAATTTAGATTAGAAAAGGGTTTTTTGGCCTGTTTTTAATACCTCACTAGAATTCTCTGATTGGCTTGTAAACCATGGTGTGAACTAGATGAAGAGGAGAAGAGTCTCTGGCACTGGCAAAAACACAGTTGAAACGCCCCTGAGGTGGGAGTGAGCTGGGCACCTCCACAGAACTAAGGAAGGACCCTGCCGGCTGAAGCAGAAGAACAGGGGAAAGAGTAAGAGCTGGCACGGTCCCCATATGCATGGCTATACCAGCGACCTTAACAAGTATGGTCTTCACCTTAAGAACAACGCTAGAGCATTGAAGAGATCTAAGGTAGGCAATGGCACTGTAAGATCTGCCTTTTTAAGAGAGCTTTCTGGTAGTTATTCAAGATAGAATGAGGGAAGGCAAGAGGAGATTTGGGGAAGCCAAGGGGTATTTTAAGGAGCTGTTCAGCTGAAAGATACGCAGCAGCTTCAACTACAGTAACTGACAGAACGGAGAAATGTAGATTGAATCCTGAATATTTAGAAGTAAAACTGACAGTGCTTGATGATGGATGAAATAGAAATGGCGACAGAAAGAGAAGGGAGCTGACTGCTACAGCTGAGTGGTGGTGGGACCATAAACTCACCTGAGGAACACAAGGGTAGCATCAGGTTGCATTGTTGACTGATGATGCTTTTGGAGATGGGCGTTTGAGGTGCCCAAGGACATCAAGGGGAGCTGTTGAGCAGGCGGAGTGTATACCTACCCTTTTGGAGTTTGGCTGACAGATCTCAGCCAGAGCTATGTATTTTGGATTCTCATCAGCATATAGGAAGAGATTTACTTGAAAGAGAGTTTAGATTAGGAAGAAAATACAAGCTAGAACTGAGCCTGGGGAAACTCCATCTACACAACTCCAGCAGCTAGGCACTTGGCATCCCTCCCCACATCTCCCCAGTTGTTTCTCAGGATCCTTAATGGTGACTCATATGTGTTGACATTTCTTCCCCTTCACTCTTTTTAATGATATTCCTCTGCCCACAGGTCTTTCAAGGGAGGCAACTCTGCTGGTACCACCTAATAAGAACTAAATCCTGCTTTTCTTCCTAGGGCCTTTTCTGGTTCTCAAAGCTGCAGACCCCCAAGGTAACCAGCAGTGCTGTGCTCTCCTCAGTCTGCACTGTGTTAATCCATTCACACTAACCTCAGTGCCCAAATGAGAATGTCCCTCTCCGAAATTCTGCAGTGTGCGTTCTTTCCGTCTGGAACACACTGCCTGATCTTTGCCTAAGGACCAGGCACAGTCCACACGGCAGGCATAGGGCAGATGCCATGCTAGTCTCTTCAGTAGCTCTTCTCTCATCTGTCCTAAAACCATCCGCTCACTGGGCTTGCGCACATAGACACCTGGCAGGGCGGCCGGATGGGGCGCTGAGGGCACGTTGATCAGGTCCTTGGATGAAACCAGTCTCTGCAACCCAGTTTTGTTTCCGCCACATAACCCTTCTGAAAAAAGTCAGTGATAGATAATACTCTGGTTTGGAGCCAAGACCCAGGAAATCAATAGGCATTGCTATAGTGTTTGCAGTTTATAAAATCAACATACTTTATCTTTTTAATTTCCATAGCAATCCTATGAGGCAGATGTCATTATCCTCATGACACAGATGAGGAAACCAAGGCTCAGAGAAGTTAAATTACTAGATTCATACAGCTAAGGTGGTGGAACAGTAATTGAAAACCATATTTTATAACTCTAAATTTTGGATACTTATTGCACCAGGCTCAAGGCTGCTCAGGCTAGAAGAATCATAATTGTTAAAAGATTTCATAGGTCTATGTCATCTGTGAAATCTGAACCATACATGATGGGATTGTCCAGGGCAAATGAGACTAAGAAAACTTTTGATCACATCTAGTTATAAAAAAGCTGCAAAATTCAGTGGCAGAGTCTTCATTTCAGGAAGAAGAAATTAATTTGGGAGTATTGAGAGATGATAAAGCATTATGAATTCAGAGACAAAAACAAGTGGAAAGCAAATTGTCTAGATCTCCATTTGTTATTGCAGCATTAAGTAGAAGAATAATTGGAGCTGTGTATGTGGTCATCATAGGAAACAGAACCATCTTCAGTGCTTATTAAAATGCAGGTTCCTTGGCCTTTCTCCAGACCAACTGTCTCAGAATTTCTGGAGATGAGACCCAGTAATTTGCATTTTTAAAAGATGTTCAGTGATTCTTTTGCGCCCTCAAGTTAGAAAACTACTGAAATAGATCATTCAAGACTATTTACTGGCCCAGTAACAGAAAACGAGAACAGCAGCTGGGTACAGGACAAACTAAATTTTCTTAATACAATGATTTTCACAGTAAGTGTAAGCCTTAGAGCCCTTGGACAAGTTCTAATCAATAGAGGCAGGTGTTGTGGGAAAGAAAACTGAATTTGGCCGTGGAAATTTTAAGTTCCTACCTTGCCAGATCATACAGAAAAAATAACTTATATTTTGATCCTCAGTTTCCTCATCTAAAAATGGCGAAATTAATTTCTGCCTTACAAGGTTATTTTAAGCATTAAATAGGATTTAGAGGGTGGGACTTTGAAGAAGGTAAAACTCTATGCGTAGGAAACCACGTGCCTTTTGTTTGATGTATGTTTTCATGAGTTCTCACCCATGCATCACCACTAGTAGGACCTCAGCTATTTGTAAACGTCAAAATCAAGTCCATGACCGTGACGTCTTGACAAGTTGAGTTCTCAATGCCCTGAGAGGCCAGTTTCCTATTTAATCTTGTTGCAAAAGATGGATGGCTGTAGGATATCAAGCTAACTGCTGCCAAGGAGAGGAAACAGGTAAGAGCCACGCAAACTTGTAGCCATCCCTACACTCTTTAGTTTCCCCATTATATTTTCTCCTGTGGGTTCCAAAGCTGGGACCATCACCATCCCCTCCCCCACAAAAAACTCACAGATTATTCTCTGAAAAGCAAAAGTTATCTTTACGTATTTTCTGAATGATATGCTAAGACATAGCTCTCATGAAGTGTTTTTTAATTATGTTACCCTGGAACATTTTATTGTTGAAATATTTACTGGACACATAAACATACAATACAATGAGGTTGATTCTACTATAAGAACACCCTGAATTAAATGAAAAATATCATTACTTCATCTTAGCTTAGATTGGCTTTCACTTCCTTTTCCCCTATCCAGTGTTTCATCTTGTCCTCAAAGTACCTGTAGATGCATTCCATTTCTGTGGTCAGTCAGCAAGAATTTCCCCATAAGGAATCCTGCTTCTGAAAGTGGTTGAATTATTCTACCCCAAAATTCCCTTTATCCTCTTTCACTGTGTTCTCTTGGCATTGGAAAGGAATGAGTTTAATTCAGCTAGGAATGAGTTTTGCTACTTTCTTAGGGAGACAGGCTAAACCATCCAGCATGTGCTTATATGGATCTTAAGAAGCAAAGAGTCTTAGAAAACAAAAAAATGGATGAAAATGGGAAGAGAGAAGAAAAGAACTTGCTCGTACTGAGCACCTGCTACACAGAAAGCACGAGATTCGTTGCCTTATTTAATTAAAACCCTGCTTCCCCCCCAGACTCCCCACCATAGGCTTTAATGTTAATCTCTCCTAGCAGGTCCCCACCTTTGGCTGCACTTACAGTGGAAATTTTATTTTGTTGGAAAATCCATCCAAAGAATGGCAGAATGAATTTTTTAACACAAACTGAACTTCCCCATAACAACCACTTATGCACTATCATTTACTGGTCCCCTTGGGCAGATATCATGTAATATATGCAGGAAGACCTGTTGCATAACACCTTTGTGGATACTTAAACTGCTGACTTTACTATGATGACCCTGACTCCACTCATAGTCAAACATAATGTTGAAAGGACTCTCACAGATCATCTAATCCATTACCCGTTCCCCCACTTTAGAGATGAGATAATTGAAGGCAACCTAGCAAATAGGCAGCCCCCATAATCTTTTTATTTCTCTGCACATCAGCAGGTACTTAAAAGGGTAGAAAAATTCCCAAAACCCACCCACCAAGGAGTGATTCAGTCTGATATTTCTAGGACTTCTGTTTAACCTTCTATTAAAACCTATTTTAATTGTTTATATTGATTTACCCACTTGTTTATGTCGATTCTGGGGAACAGTCAATACCTTAGCCCTGAGCAGAATTGAGATGCATCAAAATCATAACCAATGGGCAAAATTGGCATGTCCTGCCCCATAGCTGAAACCACAGCCATTTGAGCTTAGCCTCTAGGGGCAGGCCTTCCCAACATTATTGCCATCATTCTCATTCTTCAGGGCCATTGACAGATATCACTACACAGTGCTCAGGAGTAAAAAGAAAGCAAAGACAGGGGGGTAATCCATGTTTCTACAGAGAGAAGTGGAGACCTGATGACACCTAGAGCCAACCATAGTATGGAACCAACCTCCTAATTCTTGGGTTAGAGAGTTTTATTTTCCAAAAGTTTTCTCATTGAAGGAAAGCAGAGTCACTTCCTGGCTAAGCCAAAGGTCATTTTGTATCTGGGAGGAAAAGAAATCCACTGAGGCTATTTCAAAAGCACCTAGGGTTTTTCTTGGGAAGACATAACAAGGAATCTCACAGAAAACCCAAGACTTAAACAAACACAGATAGATCTCACAGGATTGGAGCTGGGAAGTTGGAAATTTCAACTACTTTTTCTGTCTTGCAGAGACCAGGTAGTGTTCCTGAACTGCTTTTCTCTGGCATCAACTCCTTTCTTTCTCAGCTGTCTTGTCTGATAGGGACCCAGCCCAATACCTGAGACTCAACTCTACATCACTTCCAGGTGAGCACCTTTAACATTCTGACACCTCTGTGTCTCTACATTCGCTTGTACAATGATTCACTTTGGGTTCTGTGTCTTTCTCTGGTTCAGTCAGCAATGGCTGGGGATGGGTTATGGGGCACCCAAGGAAAACAATTTCAAGCGTTGCATGTGAGCAGATCAAACTAGAAGGGGAAGTTGGCATGGCAAACTGATTGTCACCTTCAGCGTAACATTCAACTATGTAAGTGGATTTTATGAGATCAATTATTCATGGTTTCCTCTTCACCTCTTGCCTCTACGTCTCCTTTTCTTAAAACACCAGAGAATAAAAGAATCAGGGGATAAGCCAAAAGTAACATTTAGGATTCCCCTAAGTAAACAGTAAGTTCATGACTCTGGAACAGAAGAAATACATATGCTTCCTTTAAAACACACACGCACACACACACACACACACACAACACATCTATCCCATGTACTTAGCATATACAAAGACATTGATAAATATTTAACAAATATTCACTGAATGACAAATAAATGAATGAATGAGTGAATGAACAAATGAACAAATAAAATGTGTATGTTTGTGTAGATGTAAGTTCCTGTAACGGGGTAGTATTACAAATTTCTGCAGAAATGTTTTGCCCACATGTGATTAACTTCTCTTCCCTTCCATTAGGGTAATATGGAGAAGCAACCTAATGTAGAGATAAGGAGCATGGACGCTGAAGATAGACTTTCTGGGTTGGATTAGTGTGACCTTGGACAATTAACTTCTTTGTGCCTCTGATTCTTCATCTTGAGGACAGGAATAAAAATAGTAGTATTAACCTTAGAGGGCTGGGGTAAGGATTAAAAGAGTTAATATACAAAAAGTTCTTGGAAGAGTTTCTGGCATAGTAGGTGCTGAATAAGAATTTATTACAAAAATATAATAATTTATTATTACAATAAGACAAGTGAGTTGTTTCCATAAATTTAATGTCATTCAACAAATATTTATTGGTATACGTACATCACAGATATGTGAACAATATACATGTATATATGTATACACATAAGTTACAGGCATATATATATATACACATATACACACACTTATGTATACATGTGTGTATATCTACCTATCTATATAGTATGACCTTATGGAATATAAGGATTAATCAGGGAATCCAGTGAGGGAGGTAACAGTATAAGAATAACCCAAGAGGTTGAATTGAAAAGAAAAATGCTCCATAAAAGTACCCATAAGATTATGAGAAATAAGAATAGGAGATAAACTCTGCCTGGAAATTATCTCATGTATTGCTCAGAAATTCCAGTGGTTCGGGAAAGTTTGCCAGTTTGTGCAAGAACTGAGGTCAAACCTGAACTGACAAGAGCCCACTCACAAAGAAGCAGGGATGAGAGGCAAAATAGGAGTAGTAAAGGCCTGCGTAAGGCTTGGGGGATGATTTGGAACCAAATCCTGACCTGAGAATCATAGGGCCTTGTCTGGGAGTTGAATTTGATCCAAAGAAAATAACGCATTCCTCTCCAATTAGCATCCTGAGGAGAGTTAATTTTGGCTGAGCCGAGCCCAAAATGTGGCCAGGTCCTAAAATCAATGAATTGCACTTCCTGGCCAAGGATAATAATTTGGCATTGCCCCTACCCAATGATCCATCTCTTGTAACCCCCCACAGTCTTTCCTCACCCTGATCTGTTCAAATTCCAAGTGCAGCTATTGGCTATCAAGGGACATATTGATCTGGGAGGTGATACTGTGGAGGAGCCCTGTCTTCTTTCCTGCATACAAATATGAGGACATTGTCCCATGTCTCCTCCCACTTAACTGAATTCTTTACTTTCTGCTTGTGTCCATGGACTCCAGGAGAAATTATCTTCCTTAGACTATTCTCACCCTGTAGGGTTTCTTTGTGGAGTTCAGGGGAGGGGTTTCTGTAACTAAAAACCTATTTCCAGTTGATTCTCAAGGTCATTTCAGGACTGCCACATCCTCATTTAGAATTGATCTGCCATGAGCATTCACTCTGAGTGTCTCTGTCTCAATCTCTAAAGCTCTGTCAGGGTCTGAAAGAAGAAATCCCAGTGTGTTTAAGAGCTACATATTTTAAAATGTCTCTATCCCATTTAATAGAGTGAGAACCGAAAATGAGCTAGCTGGCCTGAGGGCTGGAGGAAAAGTTGTAAAGATTGTTACAAGGCCTGATTCAAAAACAAATATCATATAATGAAAACAGCATGGTTTCTAGAAATCAACACGCCCAGCTCTGCCAATTACCACCTGTGTGGCCCTAGATGTGTGGCTTAACAAATACCTGTCCCAAAGGACTAAAACGAAAATTCAGTTACACAGTGCTTGTAATTACCTAGCTCAGTGGGGCTCCCAAGTTTGCCTCTTCCTTCTTAGACTTCTTGTGATAAATAAAATATTCAGCAGAAACAAAGGACCTAGAGAAAGGAAGAATGGCTGTGATGTGACCCAGGCAAGTGTGGTAAATTTCCACTCATTATTCATTCAAAAATTCTTTATTGAGTTCCTACTTGGAGTGGTATTCAGGCCCAGTATGGGATGTTGTAGGACATACAAAATTGAGAAATAGACATGGATTCTACCCTCAAGAAGCTTAAAATCTAATACATGATAAAAGATGTATATGCAAAACATTAAGGTATAGGTCAGATCATAATCTGTAAGGTACGTCAGATTAGACCTAGAAGAGATACCAGTAATTACTTTGGGACTTCAGAAGATAAGAGTTGGTATATAGTTGCTACAGATAAAGAAAGAACTGTGGGCTGGAAATAAAAACACACAGGTGTCTGACAAAGCATTTAAACTATCCCTGAAGGACTGAGTTAGGGTCACTGATAGGAAATTCCATCTAAAAGAAATGCATAATATCATAGCTAAACTTCCAGGTGTTGAGGACCTACCATGAATGGAGTGTTGTGCTAAATAAACACTTTTCAAGCATTTTCTCATTAGTCCTCTCCCTGATACTGTAGGGAAGATACCATAGCTCCTATTCACATAAGAAGAAACCACCTCTGAAAGACTGAATGACCTGTTCATGGTCCCACGGAGCTGCAGAGAGCTGTGAGCTGGAGCCCAATTTGTCTGGCTCTGAAGAACCTGCTCTGAATCACTCTACTGCACACAGAAGGAAGGAAAGGCAGGATATGCAAGGCAAGCAGTGAGTAGCCCAACTTGGCTGGAGTTTAAAGTATTTAAACATACACAAGAAGAAGCACATAGGAAAAAAGAATGGGGAAAAACTTGAGAAAACCCCATATGTTAGCTTAAGAGTTTTGGCCTTTGTTTTGTATTTCAGAACTAATTCAGGAAAGTATACACCAGAAAGATAGATATGTTTTCCATTAAGGAAGGCTTTAATCACAAAGACTAAAATAAGAAAGAAAGAACAAGTAAGGGGTCTCTCTGGCAGGAACTCTCTCATAACAATAAATGGATCAATCAAGAGAGGCTGGTGGTCCAGTTGTTAAGACTCCATGCTCCCAGTGCAGAGGGCATGGTTTCGACACCTGCTGAGGGAACTTAGATCTCACATGCCACACAGTGCAGCCAAAAAAAAAAAAAAAAAAAAGATAGGTTAGGTGATGCTCCAATTACAAATAACCCCCAAGTATCAGTGGTTTAAAACAATACTCTTGCATGTCTACTGAGGGTCCACAAGAAATCTCTTCCGTATATCACCTTACTTTAGGTCCTTGGCCATCAATGCCAATTCTGGCAGAGGACAAGAGAGCTCTGGATGGTCTCGCAACTGTATTTAAAAGCTCCAGCCAGAAGTAACAGGCATCACTTGCATTCCAATTCATGGACCACCTGACCACAAGGGGATGTGACCCTAAGTTATGCGCAGAAATAGAAAAACCAGAATCCTGAACAAACGGCACTCATGGCTATGCCAGCAAACCTGAAGTCTGAAACTGCCCAGGGTTTTTTGAAGATCTCCTGTGCTGTCTTCTCTAGAAATGAATAACTGAGGGGGTGCGACCAGATGTAACCTCACACCACCCGTTAGATTTGAATGAACATTGAGATTACTGTATAGTTTTCAGTATGGAAAATAGTGAAACGACACTTTAAAATGTCCAACTAGGAAACGAGAACTCAGAAGGGAAACCTTACGTTGAAGGGGGAACCCTAGTCTTTCTCTGGGGCTATGGTCTTGTGTCTGGACATCAGGGCATCATAAAGATGCCCCTCACTGGGAAGAACTCAGCCAGGAGAAGGACGGTAGAAAGCTCATCCAATTAAGTCCCATTTGTTTATTTTTGTTTTTATTTCCTTTACTCTAGGAGGTGGGTCAAAAGTCAGAAAGAGAAAAACAAATACCGTATGCTGACACATATATATGGAATCTAAAAAAAAAAAAAAAGGTACTGATGAACCTAGTTGCAGGGCAAGAATAAAGAGGTAGACATAGGGCTTCCCTGGAGGCACAGTGGTTGGGAGTCCGCCTGCCGATGCAGGGGACACGGGTTCGTGCCCCAGTCTGGGAAGATCCCACATGCCGCGGAGCGGCTAGGCCCATGAGCTATGGCCGCTGAGCCTGCGCGTCCAGAGCCTGTGCTCCGCAACGGGAGAGGCCACAACAGTGAGAGGCCCACGTACCGCAAAAAAAAAAAAAAAAAGACGTAGACATAGAAAATGGACTTGAGGACATGGGGTGGGAGGGCGAAGCTGGGCGAAGTGAGCGTAGCATCGACATATATACGCTACCGAATGTAAACTAGTTGGCTGGTGGGAAGCAGCCGCACAGCACAGGGAGATCAGCTCGGTGCTTTGTGACCACCTAGAGGGGTGGGAAAGGGAGGGTGGGAGGGGACATGTGTGTGCATATGGCTGATTCGCTTTGTTGTGCAACATCAACTAACACAGTATTGTGTAGAAATTATACTCCAATAAAGATCTACTTAAAAAATAGCTCATCCAAGGTGCAGTCTGTAGGGGAGTCCATGTCATATGGATGCAGGTTATAGTGTGTGTGTTTCCATCCTGTTAACCCTGTGCATTCAGTAGCATGTTGAATGTTTACAGGTGTCAGCTGGGGCTCAGCTGAGTGGCTGTTTTCCTTATTTGGCTAGCGGGTATTCATGTGATTGCATTTAGTTAGTGGATCAGCTCAGGGCTGGGCTCAGCTGGAGACCCTGGAATGGCTAGGTTCCTCTCCCTCACCCTCTCCATCACCCTCATGGCCTCTTCTTTTTTTTTAAAGAAGATGTTGGGGGTAGGAGTTTATTAGTTAATTAATTTATTTTTGCTGTGTTGGGTCTTCGTTTCTGTGCGAGGGCTTTCTCTAGTTGTGGCAAGCGGGGGCCACTCTTCATCGCGGTGCACGGGCCTCTCACTATCGTGGCCTCTCTTGTTGAGGAGCACAGGCTCCAGACGCACAGGCTCAGTAGTTGTGGCTTGCCGGCTGAGTTGCTCCACGGCATGTGGGATCCTCCCAGACCAGGGCTCAAACCCGTGTCCTCTGCATTGGCAGGCGGATTCTTAACCACTGCGCCACCAGGGAAGCCCGGCCTCTTCTTTTTGATGTGGTCTCTCCATGTGGCTTCCCCACATGATCTCTCCAGCAAGGTAAACAGGTTTCTTACATGGTAGCTCATAGCTCCCAAGAAAGCAAAAGAAGGAGCTTCTAGAACTTTGTAAGACTTAGGACTAGAACTTGCATGACATCACTTCACTGCATTCTGTTTGCTAAAGGTAGTCACCAGGCTAGCACACATTCAAGGGAAAGAGACTAGTCAAAGACATGGATACAAGAAGCATGGAGCAACAGTGGCTGTCAATGTAACAGACCATCACAATATGCTAAAGGTAGTAATCTTACAGTTACAGCCATTCCACCTCTTAGAATTTACAATGCTTAGAAAATACAGAGATAAGTCTTAAGAAGAGACCCCCATGACTACCTTCTAAGAGAACTTTACCCATATCTCTCATCCTCTACCATAAACATTCTACAAAAGTGAGAGAAATTAACTCATGGGCCCTCTCAGAAGACTAAGCTAGCTCTTCCCAGGCATATCCTTGGAAAAGAGCCAACAGCCAATCCACAGGAGAAATGAGAAGGATAACGCCTGGTCACTCACTTTGGTAAACATTCTCAGAAACAAATTATCAAAATGTGTAATCCTGGTTTCATGCACTTAAGGATGGATCAGCTCTAATCCAAAGTGAAGGATAATGAGAAAAACAGTAGTGAGAATTCTGGAGTGGAAGGGAACACAACTTTCCTGCTTCCAGAGGGGCCCACCGGCCACATCCCAAGGAGAATAACAAAACCAGAATAAAGAAGGGAGAAGTGGGACTTCCCTAGCAGCTCAGTGGTTAAGAATCCGCCTGCCAATGCAGGGGACACAGGTTCGAGCCCTGATCCAGGAAGATCCCACATGCCGCGGAGCAAATAAGCCCGTGCGCCACAACTACTGAGCCTGTGCTCTAGAGCCCACGAGCCACAACTACTAAGCCTGCGCTCCATAACTATTGATGCCCGCGTGCCTAGAGCCTGCAACAAGAGAAGCCGCCACAGTGAGAAGCCCGAGTACTGCAACGAAGAGTAGCCCCCGCTCACCGCAACTAGAGAAAGCCCACACGCAGCAACGAAGACCCAATGCAGCCAGTAAATAAATATATAAACTTACATATATATATAAAAAAAAAAAGAAGGGAAAAGCCACCACCACCTTTATAGAAGGGATTTGAACTTGGACATGACAAAGCAGGGGGGTAGAAACAGAGATGGTAGAAGTTAAGTTTATTTGATGATGTTGTTTTAAAATAAACCCAATTACATATTTTAGTGGATTGTCCTGATAGTCTCATTTTAGAAACTAGTTATCCCTTATCTTCAACCCATGAGATCTTAGTGGCTCTCTGCTTTCCTATCTGAAGAGTTAAGATTAAAAACTACTGTCAAGAGTTGAAAAGTAATAGAGTAGCCTAGGGTTCCAGGAGAGTCTGAAATTGAAAGAATCCTGCTGTGTTTTTAATCTTTCATTTCAGAATCAGGGAGATTAGGTGGATGGTCAGAAACTGGTTATTAGATGTATTAAAGTTCATCCAACTTCACAGCAATGTACATTGTAACTCTAATGTTTCCAGGAATAGAGGGAGGAGCGTGCATCCTCACTGCCACATTTATCAGAGCTTTAGCAGACAACACAGGAGCCCATCTGCTCTAAGTTGAGCACTCAAGCTTTGACAACAGGAACAAACATGGGGATTTTGTAAAACTTGTTGTGTCAGTTAGGGTCCCAACAGGAAACAGCATTCCACTCAAAAGGATTTAACTAAAGAGAATGTATGACCTTCGATGGAATTAAGAGAACCAGCTAATGATGTGGAGGCACTCAGAGACTAGCAATGAGTCATCACCACCCCTTCGGTTGAAGGGACAATGGGAGGAAATAGTGTTACCGGTGAGACCTGAAACCATGGGGAAGAAAATACCTGCAGAAACTCTAGTGTAGAAGGATGCAGTCATTCTCCAAACTGCAACACTGAAATAAGGGAGAGGTGAGGATATCAATAACCCAAACTTTCTCTCCTCAAACCCCTCAGACTCTCCAGTCTCCAAGTGGTGTATTTCATTGTCCAGGTCAAACCATAAGCCAGAGGACAATGGAGCCCTTAATAGAGTCCAAGAAATCAGTCCCCAGAAATACACAGAGCTGGGTGGAAATGGGAAAAAAATGAATTAGCCAAGTGGAGACATAAGCATCAATGGAAAAAAAAACAGCACAATTATAAAAAGTGGGAGGGGGTAGAGAGTAATTACCATGAGTCACAGCCACAGAGATAGGAGTATCATCAACTCTTTAAAACACTTAAAATTATATTTGAAGATTCACAGAGGAAAACACTGAAAATAATTTCATTCACTTCATATCACAGACTTTTACATATTGCAGAAGAAATTATGGGTGGAGTTTAAGAGTCATTGTGGAACACTACTTAAAAGGCAAAAGATTCTAACTAAAGGATCTAGCACCACCAAGCTGTGAAAATTTCACCTTCAGAAATAATTATTATGATCTTACGGTTAATTGAAACAAGTTGTACCTGTGAAGTCCTATTCGTTCACAATAATAGTCCAGAGAGGAAATGAAACACTAAGTATAAAGAATTGCCGGTGTAAAACAAAAAAGTGACGACTACAGTAAGGAGTATTTAACTTTTTAGGAAATTTGGAAGAGAGATATATATGAGGATTTTGTTTCTTCTTTTCAGTGAACATCTACTTATAAAGTTTCAATATGTGCTATGTCTTTCTTTGTTAGTGGAGAAAGCGAATACAAAGAATGGGAGACAAACACTCCTAGGGATTATATACAATAGCTAAGTACAAAGGTAGCTTAAAATGTGTTCCAAAATTCTAAATAAGACTCGTGTTCTTAAAGAGGAGAGTTAACTATGCAAACTCATTCCCTCATCTCCAAGGAAAAGAAACATCTGATGGCTAATTAAATAAAATAACACACATTAGTAACATACATGTTTAATAAGACAAACAGATCAGGTTGATATATCATAAATCAATACTTGCTTTGCAGAGTTAATTCACGTACAGCACAGTCCTTGGCATCTAGAAGTTCGTCAGTGCCAGATCTTTTAAGTTTACTCTTTACATAAAATATAACATTTGTTTAAGAATGGCAACTCCAGCTGATTTCTATTTTAGAAACACACTAAGAAAATTTTATGACTGTTTAAGACCCTTGTTCATGCTTATTAAGGACTCGTACTTACCTAGAAGCACATAGCAATGAGTGGCAAAGTGTTTATTTGTTTGTTTGTTTGTTTGCGGTACGCGGGCCTCTCACTGTTGTGGCCTCTCCCGTTGCGAAGCACAGGCTCCGGACGCGCAGGCTCAGCGGCCATGGCTAACGGGCCCAGCCGCTCCGCGGCATGTGGGATTTTCCTGGACTGGGGCACGAACCCATGTCCCCTGCATCAACAGGTGGACTCTCAACCACTGCGCCACCAGGGAAGCCCGCAAACTGTTTTAATAAACTAAAAATCCCAAGAATGCAGCACAGTGCCCAGATCGTAGCAAATGTTCCATAGATGTTTGTTGAATGAAAGGTTATGACACTGAGTACCAGTAATATTAATAAAATCAATAAAAGCTAACATACACTTTTAATACCTCCCAAAGGATTTTCTCAGATCTCTTAGCATTTTTTCCTTCCTTTTTAAATCTTTAGTTAAAAAGATTATTTCTGATTGAGAAGAGAGATGACAAAAGTATGAACTAAGCATCCCTCAGCCCCCTAA